AATTTTTTCGGTTTTGTATGACATTGTGAATATATAAAGATTGTAAATAAGCAAAACAAATACTATACTATACTTTGTCCAGCAAACCGTGTATAACTCTTTCTATGATTTGGCATAACATTTACTATCTTTTGGCTGTATAAGGCCATTTGCATTAAAAATCTAATGGTTCTGCCTAGGGAGCCAGGCTTCTTCCAAAATAATAGATTTTTTGTAAATATATACCGACAAATAAGAATCTACACATAATCTGGAGGAGACCTGAATCATTTTAAAGGAGGCCAGGTACTTTAGGCACTCTTTTAGCTACGTCAATGGTCATTTGTAGGTCTTATTTTGATACCCACTTTTGGTGATTGAATATCAGAAACTTTTTTCTTTTTTTCCACTGGTTCTACGTATCTAATTCACGTTTTTTTTCCCAGAGTAACTGCCAAAAAAAGTTAAATTTTATAAGAACCTAAGTTATCAGTTGAATGGTGTGTCCCCATAGAGCATTTCTAGCTCAAATCGTTAAAAAAAATGTCAATTTTGTCTCGAAACCCTTCTGATTTGAATGAAACATTGCTCACGTGTTCGCTGCTACTAATGGTTGCATTTTTCATTTAAATATGATTTTTTCCTCCAGAGTAACTTTTGAAAAGGGCGTATAAAAAAATGGATTATTTTTTTTTCAAAAAATCATAACTTGAAAATTATTGATCTGATCAAAATAGCATATGAGAAAAAGTTTTAGGTAGTTAAATTATTTTTGCGAAAAAAAATACACTGAAAGAAAAACTTAGTAAATTAGTATTTAAAAAACGTAAAACGATGATTATCTCAAAACACCCCCCCTTCGATCTTCATAATTTTTTTTTTCAAGAAAATTGATGGAATACCCTTAAATTTCGTGAAAAGTGTATGCTGGTAACTTCCTTAAAAAGAAATATATAATTTTTTAAATTTTTGTTGATTTTAACAAGTTGATGAAAATGCATATTTTTTGAAAAATAGTAATTTATTTGGATTCTACGCATAATTTCCAATAACTTTGCATGTAGAAACTTTTTTCCTAAGTCCAGCCGTTCTCAAGTTAATGCGAATTAAAAAAAATATAATTATAACAATTTTCAAAATTTTAGGCCATTTTCAAATGTTCGTCGAGATGTCTAGCAACGAGATTTTATTTCATGATTGTATATTAAAAAACAAACAATTCATTCTCAGATATGGTAGCTGTCAGACTTACCCGTTTCTATCTAGAGGCAGCGGAAGAGAAGCACGTTGATGTGGTCAAATAAAAGATTGGTTGAGATAAAAAACAGTATATATTTTTTATTTTATTTTACAACTCATATTATTTGAATACATTGAATAATTTGGGTGTATCGTTTGAATTAGAGAATATTTTTACTGCAATTTGGTTGTTTGAAACTGGAATATAGCAATGATATTTTCAAGTACCAGGAATTGGTTTCACTTTCTTAAAAATTGGATCAAATTCCGTGTCAGCCTTTTTGTATTCTTCCGTAGAAACATAACAAAATGACATTTTTGTTTGAAGATCTTCTTTACGACTATTTGCCCAGTCGTACAGTCGTGTTGCTTAGCTAAACTTGCTCTGGTTGCCATTCTCTTAAGGGTACCGCCAATCACATCACAATGACCTTTGCCGTGTGAAGTTGCAAAAAAATGCCATTCAATTTCTACATCTACATCTACATCTGACATAAAAATACACTTTTGGACTGTTATTTGCAACTTTAAAAATTCTAATAATTTTGAGATAAACAACTGAACTGCTACTGTGTCATGCTTTGAAATTGATTTAGGTAGAGGTTTACAACACTTGAAATTGTTATCCATCGTAAAAAACTACTTGCTTTTTAACTTGAAACGCTAAGAGAGATGAACTGAATGGAACAGGTGAAGATCGTCCCAATATATATATATATATATATATGTAGCAGAATAATTACAATGTTGACATTATACCTATCTTCATTAGGTACAATTGATTATAGCAAACTTTTTTAGGTGTGAGTGTAAGAAGCCTCCACGGGGTGCTTTTTTATGTAGTTGTGATATCGCGGGATGAGCTCTTAAGGCACAATATGGTATACGTCAGAGAAGTACCTAGATAATTTACCTCAATTACAGGTTTAATAACATATTTGTTTACCTGTTTATGTTTTGAGCCTCTGTTATGACATACACAATTCTATACAGGTAAACAACTAATAGAGGACAGAAAAAAGGCACATGAGTGGGTTTGTTGATTATTTGGGTATATTTGAGAGTATTTACTTATAAACTTGTTTCTTTTCCGCTGCGTCTAAATAGAAACGGGTAAGTCTGACAGCTACCATATTTGAGAATGAATTGTCTGTTTTTTAATATATATTCATGGAAAAACATCTCGTTGCTGGACATCACGACTAACATTTGAAAATGGCCCAAAATGTAGAAAATTATCATAATTATTTTTTTTAAATTGCATTAACTTGAGAACGGCTGGACTTAAGAAAAAAGTTTCTTTATAAAAAGTTTTTGAAAATTATGCGTAGAATCCAAATAAATTACTATTTTACTAAAAAATATGTAATTTCACCAACTTGTAAAAACCAACAAAAATTTCAAAAATTATAAATTTTTTTTTAAGAAAGTTACCAGCATATACTCTTTACCAAATATTAGGGCATTTTTTCAGTTTTCTTGAAAAAAAAAAAATTATGAAGATCGAAGGGGGGGTGTTTTGAGATAATCATCGTTTTACGTTTTTTAAATACTAATTTACTAAGTTTTTCTTTCAGTGTATTTTTTTCCGCAAAGATAATTTAACTACCTAAAACTTTTTCTCATATGCCATTTTGATCAGATCAATAATTTTCAAGTTATGATTTTTTGAAAAAAAAAATAATCCATTTTTTATACGCCCTTTTCAAAAGTTACTCTGGAGAAAAAAATCTAATTTAAATGAAAAATTCAACCATTAGTAGCAGCGAACACGTGAGAAATGTTTCATTCAAATCGGAAACACTCATGACCAACCGGTTTGCGTTTTGGGCTGGAAATGCTCCATATATTTAAACAAAGTGTTATGTTTTTTCCCTTGATTTGTTTTCCGTCGATCTTGTTTTCAGTGCTGAGCACCAATGCTACCGTCGCCAGGGAGACAGCTTCCACACCTGGACCCTACCTATCGACCCATCAACTCATGAACCGGGGACCAACGGATTTGTTTCCCCCGTGATCGAAGATGTTATGCCTCAGTACATCCCGGTGGCACCGACTGGGAATGAACCCAGGCCTGCTGGGGTGAGAGGTAATCAGGCTTACCACTTTTCCACCGGCACCGCTAAAGTGTTATGTTGGCTGTACAACTTTTATTATATTTATAAACAAAATCATTTTTAATTTAAACTCTTATAGAATGTAGCAATGCACAGTAATGCTTTTTGCCGTTTTCGTGCGCTTTTTTAATAGCTTCTCAAACATTGATTTTAGGGGTATAGTTTGTTCAAAGATGTTTTTGCATATGTTAATCCGCTTCTTTTGATGTAGACGGTGAGTGAGATCAAAAAACTTTTCTGAACATTGTATTATGCTATCTCTTAAAATTAAAATATGTTTTCAAAAATTAGACATTTGCAGGAGTTTTTTAGTTATTAAAAAACACCTAAAAGATCGCGTGCTGCCACATGTTTTTTATAACCTTTAGGCAGAAAAATAAGTACAGATTTAGAATCCTTCCTAGAATTTTGCGCCAATTTGCGCCGGAAATAGTTATTTGAGGAGCAAATACCCCTAAACATATCGATTATATAAGAATATTTTGTTTTGTTTCTAGAGCTAATTGGTTACAATGTTCAGCAAAAGCATGTGTTTAAACATGCAAAATATAGTTGTAAAAGAAACCAAAATTGTAGGATGCCTAGAAAATCAGTTATACTAAAAAACATGATTTAAAGGGGCCTTTCACGAAAAATGATACATATCTCGCAATTTATAAGAGCTAGTAATTTTGAGTGTTCAGCAAAGTTGCTTAAAATAACATTTGCTACAACTTTATTGAAGACGTTAAGTCTCTATCTGAATCAGATAAAAATATTTTTTTGATCTCACTTCTAGGTGTATTAATCACCAAACCGTCTACATCAAAAGAAGCGGATTAACATATGCAAAAACATCTTTGAACAAACTATACCCCTAAAATCAATGTTTGCGAAGCTATTAAAAAAGCGCACGAAAACGACAAAAAGCAACACTGTGCAATGCAATAATTTACGCCACAAGAGTAAGAGGAGCATAGCAAACAGGTGAGGTATAAAAAGCATCCCGCACTCCAGTCCCAAACCCCTAATTGTTCAAAATAAATTAATTGGTAGTAGGTTAACTATCACCATTGTGTAATGATCAAAGATCAATTATTTTGTTTCTAACCATATGAAATCCAAGGCTAAAGCGCAAGAAGCTTACTATGCCACTCCTTCCTCTACTTATTTCAGAAAAACTATTCAATATTCTCTTCCTCTCTGCATCTTTAGGTTGGCGAGTGACATTTGAGAACGGTATCTCTAAACTCAGCTAACACAAAATACAATGTTTTCCCAGTCATCCAGCTCCTACAGCCTACAGCAACAAAAACATAACTTCCAGCACTGAGAGGTCATAAGCAAAACCCATGCTATCAGCCGGCAGTGTCGATAGGTTCCTGACCTTGATCGGTGTCGGCAATATGACCAAAATGCAAAAAATTAGCATAGCTAAAAGTAGATATATGCAACAGTGTGTTCACTTTCCCATTGCTTTCCATATCACACACAAAACCGCGGTCAACGTTCATTCGCGTCATGCTGAAAAATATTAAATATTAAATTGTGACTAAGCCCCTTTTCCATTCCGCCCTTCGGTCGCGCTTTAAATTATTATGCAAATCGATCGAGACTTAATAAAAAGGCCCCGGCTATCCGTCGCTTACATGTCGTCTTACGGTAGTGCAAAGCGGTCGTGTGTTCTATTTCTTCAAGTGGCCACATTTTCTCTAATTCCGGACAATCATGGTGATGCGAAGCTCGTCGATGAAGAAAGGTTGGCAAAATGCTAACACCGGTTCCGAGTCGGAATCTCACGTGACATGCTCCTGTCAGGTACCTTGAAGGCTTGAAGGATTGAAATCTAAGTGCGTGTGAAGTAAATTTTGACGATCTTTGCAGCCTGTGGCGCGGGTAGCGGTTCAGGTTGCTCAGGGATACATGTACGGTGTTCGGGACATCCTTCCGAATGGGGAGAACTATTTCTACTTCAAGGGCATTCCTTACGCGAAAGCTCCTGTAGGAAATCTGCGCTTCAAGTCTCCGGTTCCGCTTGAGAAGTTTGCGGTGAGCTATTTGGATTGTACCACGGAACGGAGCAACTGCATGGGAATGGATGTGATCAGTAAGGACATTACTGGTTCAGAGGATGGCTTGTTTCTGAATGTGTACAGTCCGGTGCTGCCGCGCAAAGACGATGGATCGAAGAAACTACCGGTTATGGTATTTATTCATGGGGGAGGATTAATCGGTGGTCATGCAGATAGCACGATGTACCTTCCGAACTATCTACTACAGGAAGGGGTACTCGTGGTTACCTTGAACTATCGGTTGGGTGTTTTTGGATTTCTCTGTCTACCGGAAGCTGGGATCGAAGGCAATGCAGGACTCAAAGATCAGGTACGTCTTGCAATAATTGACAAGCTCCGAAATTAATTGACTTTATACTCAAATCAAGCGATTGGCTCTTCAATGGGTGAGCCAAAACATTTCCCAGTTTGGTGGTGACCAAAATAACGTAACCCTTTTCGGTGCCAGTTCCGGTGGCATTGCAGTCAATTTGCACTGTATGTCACAGGAATCCAAGAAGTACTTCCACAAGGCAATCATTCAAAGTGGTTCAGTCTACCTGGAGTGGGGTCACCAGGAGAAGCCTGAAGAGAAAGCTCGTAAATTGGCTCGCCTTTTGGGATCAAATCCCAGCACCGACGAAGAAGTGTATCAGGTGCTTAAAAATGCCCCAGCCAGGAAAATCTACGAACTTCAAACCAAAACCGTGTCGGACCGGGAACAACTGGTTGAAAAGCTCTTTCAGATTCCATTCCTGCCGGTCATCGAACGGGAACAGTCCCCGGATGCCATCATAACCAAACATCCGACGGAGATAATGCGTGACCCCGATGGAGTTGGTATTCCTATTATTCTGGGCTATAATGAGTATGATGGAATGATGGTACTGCTTGATGCCGTTAAAAATCTTAATATTTACAATCTGGAACCGGAGCGCTTCATTCCACGGACGCTCAACATTGACTGTTTCACTCCGGAAGCCCGTCAGTTGGCTCTCGAAATTAAAAAGTTCTACTTCAAAGACCAAGATTTATCTCGTGAAAATATTATGCAACTGGTAAAGCTTTTCACTGATAAGTACCTTTTATCCTTAAGAATCACGTGGGAGCTGTGGGCAAAGTACCAAACCAAGGCAAAGATGTTCGGGTACCGGTTTTCGTTCGATGGATTGCTTAACAAGGGCAAAGCGGTGTCGTCGTTCAGCGGTATGAAAGGGGCTTCCCACATCGATGAAGTCTACTACATTTTCAGTTCACCAATCCTGAGAACGGAGGTGCCAAAGACCAACAAGGCGTACGAATTGCGAAGCAAAATGGTTCGTATGTGGGCAAATTTTGCCAAGTTCAGCGATCCAACACCGGAGACGGGAGAGACAAGTCTGCCGTTCAAATGGGAACCACTCAAAAACATTCCGGTGGATTGTGACGACATAAAGTGCTACGTTCTGAGTATCGCCGAAGAGATCAAAATGACTGAGATGCCTGAGCGTGAGAGGATGGACTTTTGGACGGAGATTTTCCGGAAATACAACGGCCATGTGACGAACATTGCCATTCCCACCGCTAAATCGGTTGATATGAATAATAATAGTGATTAGGTTAACGTATTCTGATGGATGGAAGCAAGATTTGATGAAATATACTGTTATCAAGAAAATTTTGTCGAATACATTTTGGTTTGCGCCAATGCGCATCAATTTGATGTGTTAAACAATAAAGATGATTTGGGAACCCTAATTTGAACTTTTTTTTATGAAAAAAATTATTTCTAAATATTTTTGTTATACCCAAATGCAAGAAATGCAAGATTCTAGTACAGAAATTAAAAGCACCACATGAATAGATTCTGTCCTATGGTCATCGAAAGGATTTTCAAGTAATTTGGTTATTTTGCTTAAGGCCATCGTTCGGACATTTTGAGCCGTTTGTCTGTGATTTGGGTGGTTTTCCAGGAAACGTCCCGAAAATCCTGTGAAGGAAAGCGAATATCGGGAAACGAATTCCGTCCGATTGTAGCCAAGGATTTTGTTATCTTAGTGGTGTAAAATGTGGGTGGAAAAGTGCATTCAACTTCAAGTCGTGTGCTTTTTCCGGGAAAGTGGCATTTCCACCCAAAGAGAATATGCACGTGAGTGTATATGTGCGCGCAAGGAAATGCAATCTTGCGCCTATGTTTTCCCGGGAATTTCCCAAGAAAGTATACCATATTTTTATACCAAGACATTCTGCAGAGTCTGCACAACATGATGGTATACATAAACATATGATTCTCGAAAATTTGTAGCATGGTTTTTCAATTTCCAAACCATGCGCCAAACATTCTCGCTGTAAATTCGTCACGAACATAGTAAAGAAGCAATCAGCAATTACGCATTTGTTTTACAACGTTGCCACATTTTCTTGTTCCTTTGCTACTGGATCACATGTTCGTAGATCCACGTGTCCTTTTTCGCTTGTTCGCTCATCATATCAAATTGATCAGGAATTCTTCCGAAATGTCAAAAATTATATCGAAGACCTACGACGGATCGGAAATTGAAATTGAGATCTCCATGTATTCTTTCATCATATCAAACTGAACAGGAGTTCTTCAAAATCTTATCTATCGAAGACCTACGACGTATCGGGAATTTGAAATCGAATCCTGCATATTCCCTCATCACATCAAATTGATTATTAATTCTTCCGAATAATCACAAATTATATATAAAACGTATGACTAATCGGAAATTGAAAATGAGTTCTCCATATATTCCATCAACACATCAAATTGACCAGAAATCCTTCTGTAGACATTCGGGCAGTTAGAATATATTTCAAAATACAAGGATGGTCAGAAATTCTTCCAAACTATCAGAAGTTATATGGAAACCCTTCGATTGATTGGAAATTGAAATCAAATTCTCCTTTAATTCCATCATCATATCATATTGATCAGGAATTATTCCGAATAATAAGAAATTATATCGGAAATTGAAATCGAGTTCTCCATATTGATCAGGATTTCTCCCAAATTATCAGAATTAATATCGAACACGTATGACTAATAGGAAATTGAAATTGAGTTCTCCATATATTCCATCAACATATCAAATTAATCAGAAATCCTTCTGAAGATCTTCGGGCAGTTCGAATGTATTTCAAAATACAAGGATGATCAGGAATTATTTCGAAGTTCTACCGAGTTATCAGAAGATATATGGAAACCCTATGACTGATTGGAAATTGAAATCGATTTCACCATATCAGGCATAACATTTGATAACGGCACAAAAGCTTTTGTAAACAATCGAAGTACGCTCACGCAAACCAACAACATCATCGGATAGGGGCACCTGTTCGAAAGTGGTATTGGTTTGCGTGGGCGTACTTTGGTTCGCGTGTAAAGGGTCTTAAAAAGTTTGTTTACAAAAGCTTTTGTGCCGTTATCAAATGTTATGCCTGATATGAACCCTATCAAAGTGTTCAGAAATTCTTCCGGATTATCAGAAATTATATTGAAGGTCTTCGACTAATAGAACAATTGCAACCGAGTTTCCATATATATCTCAATCAAATCAAGTGATCAGGAATTCTTTCGAATAATCAGAAATTATTTAAAAAAAAAAACTATATCTGATCAGAAATTGAAATCGAGTTCTCCTTATTCCATGACCATATCAAATTGACCAGGAATTCTTCCGAATTATCATACATTATATCAAAGGCCTAAGACTGATCGGAAATTCAAATCGAGTTTTCCATATATTCATCATATCAAAGTGATCAGGAATTCTTCCGAATTATCATATATTATACCGAAGGCCTTCGATTAAAAGAAGAATTGAAATCGAGCTCTCCATATATATCCTTTTTCCATCAAATTGAACAGAAATTGTTCTAGACATTTTTGGTCAGTAAGAATGTATTTACAAAATGTCATAATGACCAAGAATCATATAGAAGACTTTCAAATCATCAAAAATTTGAATAAAACCCGTTGAATACTATCCAACAATGTCAGTTTCATCAATAATTCATTCGAATTATCATAAATGATACGAAGACCTACGATCGGAGATTGAAACCGAGTTCCCCATATATTCCCTGGTCATATCAGAGTGAGTCCTGCTGCTTATCTTTGGTCTATAAGAATGTATTTTCAAAATTTAGCATTGATCAGGAGCCATGTAGACGATCTTCAAATGATCTTGAAATAAAACCATTTGAATATTCTTACATCATATGAGATTGGTCAGGAATTCTTCCGAATAATAAGAAATTATTTGGAGGATTTCCAACTTATAGAAAAATTTATATTGTGTTCTCCATATATAAGCTTCTCATATCAAGTCTTCTTCTGAAGATCTTCGGTCAGTTAGAATGTATTTTCACAATATAAAGATGGTTAGTCGAAGGCTTTCAAATAATCTAAAATTGAAATTCAATCTTTTGAATATTATCGCCCCATATGAGGTTGATCAGGAATTCCTCCAATTTATCAGAATTTATATCGAAGACTTACGACTTACAGGAAATTGAAATCGATTATCCATATATTCGCTCATCATATCAAAGTGATCAGGAATTATTATGATGATCGTCGGTCAGATAGAATGTAGCAAAAATTCGAATATTCAAAGGATTTTATTTCAATTTCTGACCGTTTACAGATCTTCGGCATGATTCCTGATCAACACTATATTATGAAAATACGTTCTTATTGACTGAAGATCTTCAGAAGACTTGCTGATCTATTTGTTATAAAAGGGGCGCCGGTGGTGTAAGCGTGATTATCTCTCATCCCAAAAGGCCAGAGGTTCAATCCAAGTCGGCACCACCGGGGTTTTCTGAGGAATAAAATTTCTTATCACACCTTCCTTCGGAAGGGAAGTTAAACCGTTGGTCTCCAGTCCATGAGTTGATGGGTCGATATGTAGGGTCCAGGGGTGGAAACTACCTCCCTGGTGTCGGTAGCACTGGTACTCAGTACGGAAACAAACCAAGGATTTTTTTTTGTATGAGAAAGAAATATTTGGAGAACTCGATTTAAATTTTTTTTCTATTAGTCCAAGGTCTTCGATATAATTTTTGATAGTTCGGAAGTATTCCTAATCAACCTCATATGATGAGAGAATATTCAAAGGAATTATTTTTAATGTTTAATCATTTGAAGATCTACGATTCTTATATTTTGAAATGCATTCTTACTGACCGAAGATCTTCATAAGAATTTTTAATAATTTCGATTTGATAAGGAAATATTATATTAATTTATCAATTTATTTATTTATTTAGTCGTTAATCAAAAGCGTAGATTATATTATGATATCCTTACTTATGATCTATGATTTCGCAGTGCTTGGAATTATTTTTCAATTTTAGCGGTGACATATTTAGGTCTATCATTTCTCAGTTTTCATTATAAATAGATATCATCTGACTTATCGGTCCATATTTCGCGTAGTTAGTGCGGTGGCGATCTACCGCGAACAAATGTCTATTACGAAATTTTCGAAAAGGTGCATAAAAATTAAGTCTTGATAATAAATAACCTGAGTCAATGCGTTGCGAAGCTATATTGTTTACGGAATAGACCATATATGTTATACCGATGCTCTTTCAATACCTGAATGTTGATTAACAAGCAACATGCTTCATAAGATGGGAGAAGAAATGCTGTCCATCCCAATTAACTCATATAGTAAAAACTACTTTTGGATTGACTCTATTCGTTCAATTGTGTAAGGTGTCAAGTGGAAACCAAAACGTTTTCTAAAATAAAATTGCTTTATAAAATAAATATGAATTGCCTGCACTAAGAATTATTGTGTTGTAATGATCCACAAATGCTTATTTAGAATCTAGAAACTTTTATCAAACAAACTTTTACAACACCACGTCTAAAAAAACATGTACTTCATCATAAGCACTTTGAGCTTTTTCAAAATAAGAGAGATATCGTTAACGTACAAAATGAAAAGAAGAGGTCCCAAGTGCGAGCCCTGAGGAACTCTTGACAGGACTTGAAATGAATTAGATTTTTTCTAACAATTTTCTGACGGTCCGTTCCCAAGTATCACTAGCAACATCGTTCTTGACAAATAAAAGAAATCCCAGTTGTGAATAAGTTCTCTATTAATTGCTTGCAAAACGTCTTGTTTTAGACCCGTTGTATTGTTTTTGTGAAGTATTCAACCTTTCTGACATGCTGTTTATCTTGAAGTTATAATTCGGTATTGAATGTCTCAATTATCTGTTTATAACATATTTATAAAAAAAAAATTGGTGAAAACTTGCTAGCCTTATATACAACATCTTTTCGTATGTCAGTTTTAGAAACGTGAGCAAATATGAATACATCTTAAATATAACTTATTTAAAACATGAAAGTAATAAGTTATATTGCAGTGGTACACATGACAAGCAAATTTTCATCAAATTCCATCAGTTATAAATGTGTTATAAACAGGTAATTACACAGCAAAAAAATAATTTTGATATCACGTCAAAGTGGATGCACTACAATCATGTCGAAAATATGGTGTAATGTTACTTGCTAAAAAGGACAAAATTATCATTAATACAATGCATGAACTGACATTACGCTGCTTTTACTGCATTTGTTTATTTATGTG